ATACACATCTACAGATAAAAGCTGCAAAAGTAAATACGACTTTAAAAGTCTGCCACTTTTTTCCTTTGTTAACTCAATTCTTCTTTAAATTTTTGCTTCACTGGAGGAAACATTTGCTCTAGAGAGTATATTTCTTAAAAGGAGAGGATTGCTATTTAGGGAAGGACAATTCATTGTGCCAGACTGTGAGTGAGATGTTTAGTGCCCTTGGCCCTACCCAGTGAGGGCAATAAAGATGACTTTAGAAATGCAGCGTGGCTAGCAACCAACTACACCTTGGCATTGTCTCCCTGGAAGAGGAAATGGGAATGACTCCCAGTGGAATGTAAGCCCAGAAGGTAAGTTAAGGTTGATTGCAGGAAAATAAAATTACATTTCTTGCACATGAGTTTGGGGGTAAAGCTTGGCACTCAATTAAAACGTATGTAGTGGAAAGAATTCAAGATTAGGAACAGCGCTGCCATGGACGTGTATACAACACCTAAGCGAGCACCAGTCAAATCATATACATTACAGCCTTGTATATTTATTAAGACAAATTTCTCATTAATAGAAGTATCATGAGAGGGAGGCACTTTTTCTAATTTGAGCAAAGGTGCCATATGGACTAGAGGCAGCCCTATTGGGCGTTTGAGGACCTTGGGATCTATGCTCTTATAGGTCACTTAATTGCTATGCACCATTTTCCCATCTCTCAAAAGGATATAAAGCAAAGCTATTAGAAGACTGGTAAGTCAGCTGACTGGAAAGAAGATAAACATGAAAAATAAAATGAAACATATATTTCTTAGAAAATGAATGTATGATATTTTAAATTTCTTTTTAATTTGAAAGAAAGATTGTAGGGTTAGACAGAGGTTCCCAAACTATCTTAGTTCATGAGCCCTTAGTTCCTCAGTAATTTTTTCATTGTGCCCCCTAGGTCTAAAGAAATACTGAATAGGTCCATTGTTGTATAATTTAGATACAAACAGCATATTTCCGACCTAAAAACTTAGTAACTTCAAAAATAATGCACATAAATTGAAAGAAACGTATTTTTGTATAACTCTTAAATAATCATACTAACAGATGGGTGCCTGCCTAGCACAGCACAATTTTTCAAATCTTAGAAACAGACTGAATGTTGCCGCCAATCTTTCCTGTTACACTTTAACAGGCACTTCATTTTCATCATAGTAGCTTTCAAAAACCTACCTTTCCAATGATATGACATCATCTAAAACAATGTAGCGCAATCTAATATTGAAATACACGAACTGCCCTAAACTAGCACATTGCACAATGTCTAACGCATGCCAAGTTTCTCTCAAAATTTGTCCCATAACCCCTTGTGAGTTCACTGTGGCATCTCATTCTCAGAGGACCTCTATGCACTGTTTAAGACAAAGGGATTAGGACAAGGAAACCCTAGACACATTGAACTTAATTGTAGTAAAGGTGTTTGTAATGGCCTAGTACTCATGGCTCTGGAAAGCTATAATTAAGTTAAAAGTTCAGCACTCAAGAGCCTGTTTATTTTCTTTTGGGCACATGAGATAATGTCTTCAGAAACATTATGAAAATTCTGAGGTGCTATAACAACAGTATTTGTAAAATTAGCTGGGGAAAGAGCTGTCCACTAGAATGTAAGTTCCAAAAGGCCAGGCAGTTTTGTAACCTCAATGTCTAGAATAATGTCTGGGATATTACTAGTCCTTAGTAAGTATTTGATAAATCAATGAAAGAAACATGAAATCACTTACATATTGAAGTCTTGGTGTTTTTAATAGAGTTGCAGACTTGGCTTGGGTTTCATGCTTTTTTCTGTATTTCCTTAGTCAGTGTCCTTCCAAATGAAACCTAAGCAACAGTGTAGTTACAGATTATATATGTAAAAGTGTTTACTGCAAATATTTGCTCCATAAATAGTTAATTTTTAAAATAGGGAGGCAAAGTATGGATGGTAGTGAGAATACAGGCTTTGAGGTAAGACAAATCTGGGTTTGAATTGACATCGAATTTTAATTATTAAAATTTAATCAAATTATCAACTTTCAAATCAGTTATCAAAATTCAATTACCAAATTTCTCTGGGTTCCAGCTTTTTTATATGTAATATAGGGACAAACATAATATTAGACATGGTTGCTATAAAGGTTAAATGAGAAAACATATGTAAAGCACTTAGTGCAATGCTTGGAACATATGAAGTGTAAATGAGAGCTATTATACTATTAGGCAATTTTTCAATTTACTTCGCTCATCTCATTCCTCACTCGGAAGGTGAGTTTTAAGACATATGAGTAGAACTATACATTAGATATACCAGGCAAATGCTCAAATGCTACTTTAGGATTTCACTGGTCTGGAATGTTTTTCCACTAGACATCCACTTCCTTCTTATGGGTCTTTGCTTAAATTCCCCTTAGTAAGGCATACACAAAACTTTCTATTTATAGTTGCACTTCTCCATACTGCTTACCCTGATCAGCTTTTCTGCCTACCACTTATCACCTTACAATATACTATTTTCTATTTTGTTTATTTTGAGTCTGTCCTTATAAGAACATAAACTCCAGGAAGGAGATTTTTGTCCATTTTGTTCAATGATGCCTAAGATTGTAGATCAGTCCCCAATACTGGGTAGTCACTCAATAAATATTTGTGGAATTGAATTTATGTGATTTGAATATATTCCCACTGAATTTTGAACTTTTTAGTTTGGGTCCGCTTAGCTTGTCAGCGTGATTTTGAAAAATGATTACCAGCTTTCATCCTGCATCTTTTAAGTATGACTCATGACTCACATACCATATACCCAGCACTCACCGAGGAAAGCTCCAGGTACCCAGCTCAGTTCAATCACTAGCTGTGTGAACCCTGGCAATTTATTCAGCTTCTTTATGTCTTGAATGTATCATCTATACATGGGGATAAAAGCCATCTCTACTACATAAAACTGTTAATGAGGATTCAATGAGGTAATGCATATGGAGTGCCTACAACAGTGCCTGGCACACATTCAATAAATATTAGCTATTATGATGATATTTACAGCCAAGTCCAGGACCCTCTCCTCTCAGTCCTGTTCTGCTTCTCTATTCCTCCCATGCTGGAGTATTCATTCTCTCCTGACCCACCCTTTCTTTCATTTCCACCTCTTACCCATCAGTTCTGAAAATGATGTCAAGGTCTCTTCAGTGCCAACTCTCCTGTGCCCTCCTATTTTTTTTGCATTTTTCGTTAGATCCAAACTGCTTTCCCAGGCTTCAGGTAATTCCCTAACTAATCTGTGCCTAGACTAAAGCTTTTGTAACAATATGATTCTAAAAAAATTCCCATAGAAACTAGAGGGTGACATTACCAATTTACTTGGCCTTAATCCAGAACCATTGTAATACTATCTTTTATCACATAACTTACTCCATTTCAAGTTTCTTTTTTTTTAAGTGTGGCCTACTTCACATCTTGTGCTTGTACTATTTTAAAGAGGAAAACAATTTAAGGTCTTGTAAAACAATTTTGTTTGCCTTGAAATTTATTTAGAAATTTTAGAAATTGTGTATCTATGCTCTCAGAGCTTTATTCTGAGTCCAGAGGAAAAGAAAATATCCTCTTCCCTGGATGGGCTGTGCCATCTCATCTTGGGCTGTGAAATCTGCCCTACCTCATGCTACTAGTCTCAGGGGAAGGAAGCTGGCAGAGAACTTGGCTAAAAAGGGGGAGTGGGGAGTAAAAGGTCCAAAGGATTAAATTTCCAGCTCTCAAAATAACCCCTGACTACTCCTGTCACCTCCAAATCAGGCCCTGCACACTTCTTCATGCTGGCACAGTGCCACCCCTCTGGCCTGATCCCAGGGGGCCCTGATGAGCTATGGATGCCCCTTTATCTCTGCAAGACAGCCCTGTAGAGAAGCTGGGGAGCCCACTGAATTAAGGGTGGACATGCAAGATGTATTTTCTCTTTTCTTAAACTCTTACCGTTCTTCTCCTTACTTAATCTCTCTTCTGTCTTCTCCTCCATCTGTCTCTAGGCCCCTGAAAGGCCCCGTGATAGTGTTCTCTAAAACGCAGTAATTTGAGTACCACTATCATGATGTTCCCCTCCCCTGCTCTGCCTAACCCCCTGCCCCACCATATCCAAATCCCACCTGTTCTATTCGATAGCTTACTTTTTCACTTAAAAATGCAAAATCTAGCTCTTAATGTATAGCACTGCTTTAAATTTAAAATCAGTTTCCTTGCCATAAATGGAAAGCTCCCTGCTAAATGTAATGCAAACAAAAATACATGGTAGTGGAATTTTAGTTGGATATGGCTGCTTGCTGCAGGCCTGTGCCTGAATCCTGCTGTTAAGAAATGCTGGAGAAGTGTTAAAAATATATCAGAATCAAAGTGAGACTTGATCTTTGAAAGAGAGACACAGAAAGACAACCGAAAAGAGAGCAGCTTTCTCGTTTATTTTTTAATACTACGTCTACATATCACTTAAGCGTTTCCCACTTTGGGAAACATTATTGCTTTGAGTTTCAAACTCACAAGAGGTAAAAAAGTTTGTTGATATCTAATAGGCTTCATCCCATTTCCTTAAAGAACTATTTGCTAACTGTACTAAAAAACGTTTTGCACATTTTTTTTCTCATTATTTGTTCACAGCTTTTGAGTACCAGAGAATGTTTCGGATACGGGACTAATTCCTGTGGATGACAGAATGCGACCGTTGAATGGGACATTGGGTGTCATCTGGTCCAAATCTTGACCCCTTTTCATTTTCCCCGAAAAAAAAGACTTGCGGCTCGGAACCGAGGGCGGCATGCCCAAGGTCACAGAAAGGGTGGTCTAATGTTTTGGTTCCTGCAGCCCAGAGAACAAGCTATCCCATCCCACGGGAGCCTTGGTGAAAAGCTGCCCGGCCGGCGCAAGGCCAAACTTCTCGCCCCCACTGTGTTGATTGTGGTTGCCAGGGCAGCCGCGCATTGCTCTCCGCCTCGTCCTGGTGACGTCACAGAGCAATGTCCAATGGGAAAGCACCTCGGCGTCACGCACCTCCTTTCCCGGCGGCCACCGCCTGCGCAGCGAGTGAGGCGTCGTCAGTGCTGGAGGCAGGCTCCGGTCGCGGCCGCGGCTAGTTAACATCGGTTTTCCAATCTGTCCGCGGCTGCCGCCGCCCAAGACAGAGCCAGAATGTTCAGGATGCTGAGCAGCAGTTTTGAGGATGACCCCTTCTTCTCGTGAGTTATGGGAGCCAGGAGTCCGCGGTCGCGCGGGAATTAAGGAATTTTGAGGGGACCTATTTTAAGGGAAAAGAGCGAGTTTTAGAGGACGAGAGAGAATTCGGGGTAACTCTGGAGGCAGTTTGAAGGAGACGAGGATATAGAGCCCTGGGAGGGAAGGGAGAGGAGGAGTTAGGGGTGTGTGAGAGAGGGAAGAGAAGGATTTGGGCGCATGAGGTGAAGAGAGGAGGGTTTGGACGCGTGAGGTGGGCAGAGGGAAGTTTGGGGACGTGAGGTGGGGGGAGGAGAGTTGAGAGCATGAGGTGGGGGGAGGAGCTTGAGGGCGTGAAGTGTGGGAGGAGGGTTGAGGGTGTGAGGTGAGGGAAGGGTTTGGGAGCATGAGGTGCGGGGAGGAGGGTTGAGGGCGTGAGGTGAGGGGAAGGGTTTGACAGCGTGAGGTGGGGGGAGGAGGGTTGAGCACGTGAGGCGGGGGAGGGTTTGAAAGCGTGAGGTGGAGGGAGGAGGGTTGAAAGCGTGAGGTGGGGGGAGGAGGGTTTAGCGCGTGAGGCGGGGAAAGGGTTTGAATGCGTGAGGTGGGGGGAGGAGGGTTGAGCGCGTGAGGTAGGGGAAGGGTTGAAAGCGTGAGGTGGAGGAGGAGGGTTGAGCGCGTGAGGCGGGGGAAGGGTTTGAAAGCGTGAGGTGGGGGGAGGAGAGTTGAAAGCTTGAGGTGGGAGGAGGGTTGAGCGCGTGAGGCAGGGGAAGGGTTTGAAAGCATGAGGCGGGGGGAGGAGAGTTGAAAGCTTGAGGTGGGGGGAGAAGGGTTTGAAAGCGTGAGGTGGGGAGAGGAGGGTTGAAAGCGTGAGGTGGGGGGAGGAGGGTTTAGCGCGTGAGGCTGGGGAAGGGTTTGAAAACGTGAGGTGGGGGAAGGAGGGTTGGGAGTGTGAGGTGGGAGGAGGAGGGTTTGGGAGAGTAAGGTGGAGAGGGGAGGGTTGGGGGAGTAAGGTGGAGAGGGGAGGGTTGAGGGCGTGAGATGGACGAAGGAGGATTTGGGTCGTGAGGTGGGGGAAGGGTTTGGGAGCCTGAGGTGTAGGGGATAGTTGAAGGCATGAGGTAGGGGGAGGAGGGTTGAGAGTGTGAGGTGGGAGGAGGATTTGGGAGCATGAGGTGTGGGGGAGGGTTGAGGGCATGAGGTTGGGGGAGGAGGGTTTTGGAGCGCGAGGTGGGGGGAGGAGGGTTGAGGGCATGAAGTGGGGAGACGCTTTGGGAGCATGAGGTGAGGGAGAGAGTTGAAGGCGTGAGGTAGGGGGAGGAGGGTTGAGGGTGTGAGGTGGGGGAGGGTTTGGGAGCATGAGGTGCGGGGGAGGGTTGAGAGCTTGAAGTGCAAGGAGGAGGGTTGAGGGAGTGAGTTGGTGGGGAGGGTTTGGGAGTGTGAGGTGCAGGGGAGGGTTGAGAACTTGAAATGCAGGGAGGAGGGTTAAGGGCATGAGTTGGTTGGGGATGGTTTGGGAGTGTGAGGTGGGTGTAGGAGGGTTGAGGGTGTGAGGTGGACCAGGAAGATTTAGGGGCTGAGGAGGATTTGGGGGCGTGAGATGTGGGAAGAGGGTAGGGGAGGAGGGTTGAGGGCGTGAGTTGGTGGGGAGGTTTTGAGGGCGTGATGTGGGAGGAGGGTTGAGAGCGTGAGGTAGGGGGAAGAGCGTTGAGGGTGAGAGTGAGAGGTAGTGGGAGGAGGGTTGGGGGGCATGAGGTGTGGGGGTAGGACGGTTGAGGGTGTGAGGTGGACAGAGGAGAGTTGATGGCGTGCAGTGCGGGGAGGAGGGTTTGGGGGCGTGAGGTCGGGGGAGGAGGGTTGAGGACGTGAGGTAGACAGAGTTGAGGGCCCTAGGTGCGGGGAGGAGGATTTGGGAACAGGAGGTGGAAAGAAGTCCTAGTAGCCTCCCTCCCTCACACTCCCGAGGTGCGTGCTGCTCTCCACTTGGCCGGACTTTGGGTGTCCGCCATGGCTTCCTGTGTGCAGAGTTGGCCTTTGCCCCTGCAAGGGCTTTGCAGGTGACAACTACCATCTCGGTGAAACTTATGGTGAGAATTGTGTTCACATAATTTCAAATGGGATCAGGGAATATTTTATAGCTCCCCTTAAAATTGCAAATAGGAGCAGGTAATATTTTATAGCATGACAGTTCATTGAAAAGGGGAAGTTTTTAAAACAGCATTTTCCATGTGAGTGGGGAATGTGTCTGTGAGAGCACAACAAAGTTAGAGAGTTGTGCTCTCTCTTCGAAGTTGTTGGACGTTGCCAAGTGCACTGTTTTCTTTGCTCGCTTTGTTACAGAGCTAACCTTGTTTGTGAAGGGACTCCTCTTTCTGTCAAAACTAAAAATAGTACAGGGAGCTAATAGTTTAACACCTCAGGTAAGCAAGTGCCATTCATTGCCTTATGAAGGTTCCCAGTGAATTAATGTGATGCCCTAGGAAGAAGGCATCCAGAAATTAGTTTCACTATGATTTATTTTTGAGTAGTGGGTTTTTGGGGTTTTTTTCTTAATTCTAACTTTGGCCATTGTTACAAACATATTGACATAGTCTAGTTGTATCCCTAAGAGGGGAAATTTGTAATACTTTTTAGCCCAAGTGTTTTTTGCCAGTTTGAATTTTGAATTCATGTCTAGTTTATTTTGATCCCTTAAATTTTCTAGGTTTGCAATTTGGAGAGCATTTTTTTTTAAAGGTTTTAAAATCACAGTTTATTGCACATATTTTTCAAACAATATCTGTGGGGGGGAGTGTTGTGTGTGTGTGTTCGTTTGTTTGTTTGAGACGGGGTCTCACTGTGTTGCCCAGGCTAGAGTGCAGAGGCTCACGCAGCCTCCCAGGCTCATCCTTCTGCCTCAGCCTCACAAGTAGCTGGGACCACAGGAGGGAGCCACCACACCCTGCTAATTTTTTTTGTAGAGACAAGTTTTCACCATGTTACCCAGACTGGTCTCAAACTCTTGAGCTTAAGTGATCTGCCTGCCTCAGCCTCCCAAAATGCTGGGATTACAGGCATATACCACTGTGCCTAGCCAATGTTGTTGTTTAAATAAATGATTGACTTAAATGTGTTAGTACTGATTTAAAGCAAAATAACATTAATAATTAAAAAGATAATGAACAGTGGGAAATGAAATGATTAATATAGAAAAATAAAATAACGTTTTTTCCTGAAGATTATTTTATTAAGGCATATAGGAACTCAGGCAAATTTATTGTGCCATTTTAGTTAACTTGTTTAGGAGCTGTTGGGATATGGACAGTGTTATTTTAACAAGTTTAAATTTTTGTATTATTGTGATTCTCTCTTTGGAAAGCCAGAGGCCAGGCATGATGGCTCACACTTATAATCCCAGCACTTTGGGAGGCTGAGGTGGGTGGATCACCTGAGGTCCATAGTTCGAGACCAACCTGACCAACATGGTGAAACCCCATCATTACTAAAAAAGAAAAAAAAAATACAAAATTAGCCAGGCGTGGTGACGCAAACTCCCAACTACTTGAGAGGCTGAGGCAGGAGAATCACTTGAACCCAGGAGGCAGAGGTTGTAGTGAGTCAAGATTGCACCATTGCATTCCGGCCTGGGCAACAAGAGCAAAACACTATCTCAAAAAAAAAAAAAAAAAAAAGAATATTTGAGCCAGAGAATATTATTTTGTAAAACCCATAATTTTATTATTTTGTATTATATAAGCTCTGGCTTTCAAGAGAATCACAGTACTACAAATCCATAGATTACTGAGCTGTTGAAGTCGTTCATATGTAAATATGACATCATACAATGGGTAACAGCTAAGAAGATTATGATCGACAATTTTTGAGTTGTATTATATCCTTGATTATACCAAAAGTTGTTTTATATCCTTCATTGTTATAGTTAAGGATTCTATCTTTAACAAAACTGTGAATGTGTAATGAGTATAATATGTTCTTTAAAATGTCTAGCGGAAGTGTAATTTAAACTCTTGGGTGATTCTTTCTTAGCAAAGGCAATGAATTGATCAAAGTGAATTCAAACTTGGACAAAAGAAACATTAAAGCCATATCTCCAAGCAGCTGCTGTTGTGGGTAGACATGAATTAAACTCACTAGAAGTCTCAGCCAGATTTATTCCTGAATGGTTCAGACAGGTGCAAACACCAAACTATAGGCTCACTTTTGTTTAATGCATCTTCCAACAGGCAGTCATTTGTTCATGTCACTCAAATAAAATTTTTAGCATTTGCTGAACATATGCATATTCAAGTAAACATTTAAATATTCCCCTACCTCTAATAATAAAGAAAGAAAAACCTGGGCAAATTTTAAATGAGCCATATTTAGTTGATTAATTTTTAGCCCAATTATAATGCAATGAGAAAAATTGATTTACTAAATTTTGTTTCTGTAGAAAAGTAATAGCTGTTTAGCACTTCCTTATTCAAAGAACAAATTTAGTATTTCTTGAAATACTTGTCTTCATTGTAGTCAAATCACATCCACATATCTAAAGGAAAAGTTGACTGGTTTTCTTAAGTAAGTGTATATTAATGGAAACAAGCATTTTACTCTGCATACTTTAACCATACTCTAAGCTGTAAATGTCCAGTGAGTTTGGAGCTCTAAGCAAAAGGACCTCCTTTTGAAGTGCCTATTTTAAAACATCAGATCGTATGAAATCCTTTAACCTCATGCAGTTATATTTATTATGAAATATTTCAAACATACTGTAAAGGTGTAACAAATACTTTATAATAATCTTTTTTTTTTTTTTTTTTTTTTTTTTTTTGAGCGGAGTTCGCTCTGTCGCCCTCGCTCTGTCGCCCAGGCTGGAGTGCAGTGGCCGGATCTCAGCTCACTGCAAGCTCCGCCTCCCGGGTTCACGCCATTCTCCTGCCTCAGCCTCCCGAGTAGCTGGGACTACAGGCGCCCGCCACCTCGCCCGGCTAGATTTTTGTATTTTTTAGTAGAGACGGGATTTCACCGGGTTAGCCAGGATGGTCTTGAT